TATTGGATAATTTGACCACTATTTTTCTTATGTAATTTTATTTTGAATATGTCAATTTAAATTAAAGTAATTAAGAAAAATAAAATCATACAATTAAATTAAATTAAAAAAAATTAATATAATGAAATTGATATAAGAGAAATAATTAAAAAAAATGTCAAAAACCTTGCGTGATAAAATATTTCGTTGCGCAAACTATTAAATTAGTTTATTTTAGTTTAAAATTTTCAAAAAACAAAAATTAAAAAAAATGAATATTTCATCGCTCAAACCTTTGCGCGACGTTAACATTCGTCGCGCAAAGTACACTTGAGCGACATTAACTTTCGTCGCGCAAAGGAGATATTATTCGTCGCGCAAAGTATATAATATTCGTCGCGTAAAGTATTAATATTCGTCGCGCAAAGTTGTTATTGTCCGTCGCGCAAAGTTTTCAGGATTCGTCGCGCAAAGTTGTTATTTTCGTCGCGCAAAATCGTCATGGTTCGTCGCGCAAAATGGTTTTGTGCGACGAAGAATTTTCGCCGTCGCGCAAACCCATTCTTTACGAGTTTTGCGCGACAGAACTTGCGCGACCAAAATTTTGTCCCGCAAACTTTGCGCGACGAAATTTTCCTTTGCGCGACCAAAAATCATTCGTCGCGCAAAGTGTTTTTTGTAGTAGTGCCAATGACTGAAGCTTGCAAAACACAAAGGGAAGATTAACTATAAAAGATAAGTTAGGGGTATGAAATATCATATTAATACAACAGACTATTTATATTTTGGAAAAGAAAAAAGAGGATCTTCTCCTGTGTACACTTCATAGTATTTGGATTTTGTATTTTCTAGAACAAACTTTTTAAAATGGAAATCAAAATTTCTGACTAAAATCAATTTCTAGGAAATACAAAAGGAAAAACCAAAGACAAAGCTATGGATGATAATCACTGTGCTTTTATTGTCTGTAATCATTGATGCTGCAAATCATCAAACTTTCCATAAACAATGGTCTAAAGAATGACTTCCAAAAACTCAAAAATATAAATGAAACAATTGAACTACAAATTTACCAGCATCATAACTTTTGCTTTTAGAAATTGGAAACAGATTTGACATGGCTAGTGGCGGACCTATTAACACCTCCCCTTACCGGAAAAATCATTGTAAGTGCTTCAAATTCCCCCTTTGCTGAACTGGTGTACAGATTACCTTATTTCCATTTTGAACATTTAAGTAAATGTCTTTGTCCTTTTACTTTCATTTATTTTTATATTACTCAATTTACTTAAATTTACAATATAAATAAGGAAGTATCCCCCATTTGGATTCAAATAAAAATACTAGAAAATCAAATTCCCACCAAATCAAAATATGAAAAATCGGTTTTAGTGCAAAATACGATTTAGGCTAAAAATGATGGCTCATTAAGTCAATATATACTTCATACTAAAATCCCATCAAATCAAGTTTTCTTATTTGATGGGTAAGGAATAAAAGCCGCCAAAAATTATCTTGAGAAAATGATTATTCCAAAAAACCATTTTTCATACTTAGTCAATATTGCACCTCCGCTAAAAAATTTATGGGTATGCCAGTGGACATGGCTCAGAACGATATGATAAAACGGGCAATATCCCAATGTATAAAACAAAGTAAGTCATTTAACATTCAACCATGATAGTATATAGGCTTATTTACTGTAGTGCCCCCTGAAACTTTGGTCGAATCTCACTTTACCCCCTGAAAGTCAAAGTGACCTATTGTACCCCCTTGAGCAAGGTTTCCTGTTTCATTTTACCCATTACCGTTAACTCCATCCAAAAGTCTATTAAAATTGCTAACGTGACATGGGTATTTTTGTAATTGCATACACATGGTTTATTATCCAGTAATCTTGGTGATGTGGCAAGGTGGAACCTACACTCTAGCATGGCTGCAGGGGGTGTTGGCCAAAGGTCCTTCGATGCCTAAGTTAGTTCAATTGGATTTTGATAAAGATACGACAATAGCTAAAATGGATGGAGTTTTCTCTCACGAGAAGAGCCGAGTGTATGGTGGCTCTTAGCCATGTGAGGAGAGAGAGTGAGATGGGAGGCGAGAGAGAGAGTGAGAGTGAGTGAGAAATACTTTCAATAAGAAATAGTCAGGATTGGCACCATAAAATCTTTCAAACGGAGATATGCCAGAGGTGAGAGATGTGGGAATGCGATTAATCACATGATTAGCAGTTAGAACTGCTTCGCCCCAAAAAAAATTTGGGACATCAGCAGAAAGCAACATAGACCTAGTAGTTTCAACATTATGTTGATGTTTTCTTTCGGCAACGCCGTTTTGTTCAGGAGTGGTCGTGCAAGAGAATTGGTGTGTGGTACCATCTGAGGCAAGCAAGTCAATGAAAGCACGAGAGGTATATTCACCACCCAAGTCACACCGAAAACATTTAATGACAGTAGAAAATTGTGTATGAACAAGGGCGTGAAAATTTTGAAAGATAGAAAAGAAATCATAATGACGTTTCATAAGATAAATCCAACAATAACGAGAGTAGTCATCAATAAAAGAAACATAATATCTAGCGCCCCCTTTACTAGAAATAGGAGCTGGGCCCCACACATCAGAGTGAATTAAATCAAATGGTGCTAAAGAAATAGAAGAACTTCTAGTAAAAGGTAATGCATAAAATTTGGCAGGTTTATACCCACTACAATCTGAAATGTCATGACAATTGAAATTGCCTAAAGCTCCTGTAGAAACTAAATATTTCAAACGAGAATGCCATAGGTAAAAATTAGACGACTTAGGACTCAGACAAAAAGATGACAAATCAATAGACGAAGCCACCAAGGCAGGAATCTAGAGCTTCTCCAACACATATAATCCTCCCTCTCTCCGGCCTGTCCCAATCAGCTTCTTGGAGTGAGGATCCTGTACATAACACGAAGTAGAAGAAAATTGAACAACATAGCCAGAAGCATATAATTGACTAATAGAAATCAAATTCAAGGTGAGTTAAGAAATATAATAGACATCAGATAGACATAGGCCAGAAGTTGTGATAGAACCGATACCAGCCAATGACATAGAAGTGCCATTGGCAGTCAAAACAGAAATTGATGTAGACAATGAAGACAATGAAGTAAACAATGATAGATCACTAGTCATATGATGTGTAGCGCCTGAGTCAAAGACCTAAGTGGATGGGGATATACCTGAAGAAGACTAGGGAGGCAAACTTGAAGAATGGGATATCATGGACAAGGCATTAGGCTAATGGGTAGAACAAAGCTTCTGAAATTGCTCTGCAGTAAGCGACACTGTAGGAATGGCGGAAGATTCGCGATGGGATGAAACAACTGCAGCTATTGGAGATCGTTTGGGTGGGAAGACTTGCTGTGGTTGGGACTTCTTATTAAGGAGTACAGGACATTGAGATTTCCAATGACCTTTTTCTTTGCAAAAGGTGCATTCATCAGCTGCAACTCTGGGGCGTGGCTTATTTTGTGAAGGAGGAAAGGGCTGGGATTGGGTGGCAAAGACTATCTGGTTTGGCAAAGGAAGAAGACCCGTGCCAGCATGGGATGTTAAGCGAACCTCTTCAACTAATAATTCATTGAGAACAGAATCAACAGAAGGAAGGGGATTACGATGAAGAATAGAACCACGAAGAGCTTCAAACTCATCTCGGAGAGTCGTGAGAAATTAAACAAGGCCCTGCTCTTCTCTGTATGTACAATAAAGATCAATATAGCTAAGTCCAGAAGGTTTAGTCAGGGCAAGTTGATCCCAAAGTCCGGTCATAACATTATAAAAATCTTGAATGCTTTTATCTCCTTGTTTGGTGGCTCGAAGATCACTTTCTAACTGATAACGTTTAGCAAAGTTGGATCTCTTGTACAATCTTTCTAAGTGTTCCCAAATTTCCTTAGATGTACCAAATTTTGCAAGTTGCATACCGATAGAGATGTCCACAGAATTATTGATCCAAGTGATGATTTTAGAATTTTGCATCTGCCACGTACTCAACAATTCAACATACTTTTCTGCCTTTTTATCATATGGGACAACAATATCGCCAGAGACATAGCCCCACATTCCTTTTCCCATTAGAAAGTTCTTCATAACATAGGCCCAATAAAAATAATTACTGCCATGCAATTTGACACTGATAGCTTGAAGAGAATCATCTTTTTGACTAGCCATGTGCAAAGCAATATAGGAGAAACAAGAACCAAAAGCAGCGAAAACCCAAAAATAGAGGAAAAACCAAGAAGACAAAAGCAACCAACACCAAAAAAACGCAGCAGCAAATCAACAAGGAAACACAACAACACAAATCAAGATGGCATGAGGGGGGAAGAACAAAAAACCAGCAGCAACCCAGGAGGATTGCTTTGATACCATGTGAACAATTCAAGCAGAAGCAGAGAATGCCAATATATTAACAAAACAATCAAAATAATAAAACTGATGTAAGCTTAGAATATATAGGCATATAAAGATGTCCTAGATAAGTAAAAGACCTAACTACCCTTAAAAGATACTAACTCAAATATATATTAATATTGGCTATACAATTGTCATAGAATTTGTGTAGGGTTTTTCGGGTGAGAAAAAATTACCTTGAATGTCTTGTGTAGCCATGTATTTATAGGCTCCTTATGTGCTAGGGTTTAAAGAATAATTCTTATTTGTTAGGATTATTCTTACCCATAAATAGGAGATTGGTATTAATCAAGGAGATTTGATGGAAATCTCATCCTTGATTTGGGGGATATTCTCATCTTAAATCAAAGATAATTTCTCTAATTAAATATGATTTAATTAGGGTAATTAGTTAACCTAAAGAATATTCCTTTTATCATGTGTCACCCATCTATTGGTTGCTGAAATATGTGTTCTCACAATAAATACGCTAGTACACCTAATCTGTACCTTAGATGCAAAGAAGGGAAGTACAGTCGCCTACAACATGAATGTGTACCTTGTTAGATATTTATATATCTACTTATATAAAATATTGTCTCCTTATAATTTTCCTTTATTTAGACTAACCCATCACATGTTTCTCACGTCATGAGGCATATGTATATATGATTATTGCCACTCTTTGAAGTAGGCTTGAAGGCAAACCATGTGAAAATAGATAATATCAAGGCAAATTGATAGGTGGGCAGAACAAAATCATGTAGTCACATGTTTTATGTTTTCCACTTTATGTTCAAATCCAAAGTTGATTGTGGATTTGAGTATTACATTTCTATTTAAATGTGATTGGAAGTGACAAGTGAGTGAGAAAGATAGACTGAAAAATCACATAAATACATAAATAATTGATGTGCAAATGTGAAATCCCATTGTTTTTCTTTTTCTTTTGTAACATAAACAGAAGCACCAAGCAAGTAAGCTTAGTAGCGTACGATTGATATTTTTCTTATTTGGGTTATTTGCTGGTTTTGTTTGAGTTAATTGTTTCACCTGTCTTATCCCAACTCCCAATAAAAATAGAATGCATGTTTTGCACGCCTTAGCTTCACCTTGTTTGTTTCCAGGGAAAGAAAAAACAAAAGAATATTATTGCATGTGAGATTGTGGTTTATGTTCCCTTGTGGGTCTTATTCACTTGTGTTATATGTATTTAGAATAGAGACTGCTTTTTAGTGGGAAGAGGTTAGGTGAGATGAGCAATTCAGCTATATGGTCTCAGCTCTGCAAGGGTGCACACTAGAAACAGAGCCACACCCATCCAATTTTCCTTCGGTGGGATTTTGATTTCTTCCATGCTTTTTCAGATTTATTTATTTCTTTTTGTTAATATCTGATTTTCTCCGAAATTCACTTTCTAGGTGGGTTGAGCAAGAAGGTCTCAGCTTCCTGAGCCAGGGCTCACTCACACCACAAGGAACAGAGCCAGACCCACTTCTTTTCAACTTTTTCCAGGTGGGTTTACTGATTTCTTTCTATTTTTCTTTTCAATTCATGCTAGTTGTGCTGCTCTGCTATAGTTTTCTGAAATTCTGATTTGTATGCAATTGCCACTTTCTATGTTCAGAGATATGAACACTTAGTTTTAGCTTTCCTGATGTAAATACTTTGATTTGGGTACATTGACTGAAATTACATGTAACTTCAAAATAGGGTAAATTATCATCTGATTTGAGGGATTAAAGATTCAACTGAGCAAGTTACCTAATCTAGAAAGGATATATCATGTTGTACCACTTACCAAAAACGAATATTATCAGTTGATTCTTATCTATATATATTCTATGACTGTTACTAACATGATATGTTCTATGGTACTATTTTCTCCCAGAAATGATTGTACCAGTAGCAATAGCTTTGACAGTGGGTCTTCTAGGGTGGGCTTATCAAGCACTAAAGCCTCCTCCTCCGAAAATATGCGGATCGCCTGGTGGTCCTCCTGTTACTTCACCAAGAGTGAAGCTCAGTGATGGTAGGCATTTGGCCTACAGGGAGTTTGGAGTTCCAAAAGAAGAGGCAAAACACAAGATCATTGTTGTTCATGGCTTTGGAAGTTCCAAAGATTTGAGATTACCTGTTGCTCAAGTATTTTTTTTCAACTCTTCTTTTAAATCCTGCATGCCTTGTCATAACTTTTTCCAGTATTGGGGGGGATATGCTGTAACACTGAGTTGATATGCTGGTCATGAATGCCTTCTATACGCTTTTGATTGATCATGCGTAATTAATTG